TTTGCGTGACATTTATAAATTTGCCAGCAAAGCGCCAGACGCAAAAGGTATGCCACAATGAACGCCAAGAAATCAATTTTGCACTGCTTTTTTACTCGTCAAAATTGCTGTGGATTTAAGATATTTTGCTTTAAAATTATCAGCAATGTAATTGAGTTTTATGTTTCAGCATGAATACTCGAATTTGGACGAAACAAAATAAATATTAAACCGGCTGATTGTCAAAGCGCGCAAAAAGATGGGAGTTGGCCATCTTTTCGCTTCGCGCTGCAGCTTCAATGATCTATGTGGCATGCTTTGTGCATTTTCATACAATTCATCTTAGTTGTCAAAGCGAATCTGTCACGTAAAGCGAAGCAAACGTTTTATGTGGCATCAGCTTAAGCGCGGTCGAAGGCAGAAGCAAGTGCAACAGGTGGTGGACCTAACAAAGTGCATGCCTTCAATGGCTTGGAAGAAGCTGTTATTGGATTAACTGGATTGAGAACCAGTTCTTCAGGCATAGGAGTAGTTCTGGCTTGTGGTTCAACAATTCAACCAGAAGCTGACTTAGACGCGCCCATGGTTATAGTAACCAGCTCCGCATATCTTTGTGAAATCATTCCCATAGCGCGCTCTTATTCCGGTGCTATAATTGCAAATGCAATAGAATCCATCGTTTCCTTTAAAATATGTAAAATCAAACAATTTTACTATGAATAAACACTTCATGAGTGTTTTTTAAATTCCTTTCCACTTTGTTATCCTTCATTCAGCTATCTTCGAAAAACAACTGATAGCTCGCCATGCTGCACATGTTTCCGCAAGGGTTGCAGCATGTGGATTTTTCGTTTTTCGTAGCGTAGGTACGAATTACGAATTACGAAAATTCGGGTTCTAGAATAAGGGGGTAAGTAAACTGCGTTTACATTCAATAGCTGGCTGACATTTGATCTGCTGATCTTAGTTTAAACCAGCCTGATCTAGCGTTTAAACTAATTTTAAACCATGACCGTGCACTGAAAAACTGGTTGACCAAAGCTTTGGCCAACCGTGAGGTCACTGTTCAATCCGACAAAGCACGACGACAGAGTCGGAAATGGATTTTGCCGAACGGCTTCGTCGGATCCGGCGCCATGCGCGAGCTGTTTTAGCCGGTTTTCATCCTGCATCCTCTGGCGGACAAATCCAAGCGTCGAGTGACCAGAAGGCTGCACAAACTGCTAACAACAAGTGCACCGCTTGTTTTCACTAGCGGTGAAGTTTAGGTAGCCATCGGGAAGTCGAAAGCCTCCAAAGCCATGGGACCCGACGGAATATTCATGTTTATGCTGGAAAATTAGGGTCCTGCGGGAGTATACTATATAGCCAGGGTCCTCAACCTGTCAATGGCCACCTCGTCGCTCCAGACATCTGGAAGATGGGGAGAGTGGTCCCACTGCTGAAACCGCGGAAACCAGCCAACAAAGGAGAGTCTTATCGTCCGATAACACTCCTTTCCCCGGTAGCGAAGACACTAGAGGCCTTGCTACTCCCTTATTTTGCGAACCACCTGACCCCAGCGAAGCATTAGCATGGGTTCCGTAAAGTGCACAGCAAAACAACAGCACTTAACGCCATAATTACCCAGATAACTCGTGGCTTTAACCGTAACCGCCCCTGTGAGAGAACTATTCTAGTAGCGTTGGACCTGTCGCAAGGCGTTCGACACCGTCAGCCATTCAACGCTACTAGAAGACATGAGGCCTCCTCTCTCTCACAGAGGCTCAAACGGTGGTCTGCGAATTATCTGGGCGGTCAACACTCGTCAGTAATGTTTAGATACAAATCGAGAAAACCTAGAAAAATATGACGGGGGGGGTTCCACAGGGTGGTGTCCTTTCCCAATTACTGTTTAACTACTATATTTCCAAGCTCCAGAGGGAGTATCGGTTGTCTGTCCCCTACGTTGACGATTGCTCGATCATGGCGTCTGGGAATGAAAATTATGACTTGTGCTCGAACATAAACGGTGATCTCTCCGAGCTTTCTCGCTTCTTCACTGCACGGAGCCTAACCCTCTCCCCTACAAAATCCTCAGCAATCTTGTTTACCACCTGGATAAAGGAGGTCAGACTACCGCTGGGTATTCACGTCGATGACACACCAATACCGATGGTGAATAACCCAAAAATACTCAGAGTTATTTTCGACAGCCTGCTCTCCTTCTCTGCGCACTCAACTGCAATTGTCAACAAAGTACAGAGCCGCAACAAGGTCCTAAGAAAGCTAGCCGGCAGTACCTGGGGCAAAGACAAGGACAGGTTGCTGGCAACATACAAGGCAATTGGCCGGCCGGTTCTAAATTACGCTGCACCAGGTCGCCGGGGACCAGTAGGACGCAGTGGATGAAGCTACAGACGGTACAAAACATAGCACTTCGAACAACGACCGGATATATTCTGATGTCGCCAGAACATCACCTACATGGCGAGGGGCAAATGCTCCCCATAAGGGAGCACAACACAATGCTCTGCAAGCAATTCCTAGTAGGGAGCCACAGACGTGGACACTCGAACAGGAACTTGCTTGCAGGTTCATAAAACAACCTCTGGACCCGTCAGCATATCGACAGGCCCTGAGCGGCATTCACAGGGAGTCAGTCTCAAGTTACGTAGACTCGAGACCTGTGAATGCCGTTCTGGGAGAGACACCCCACGACTCGAAACATCTCTTCGCATGCCCGGAAAACCCCTACGCCTGTGTCCCTGTGGACAGGCCCTATAGAGGCTGCACGCTTCTTGAGTCTTCTGAACTTGACAACGACTGGGACACTAGCCGATCTGTGCGGGGTTGTTGTAGCCGCTACAACACCAACAACAACAACAACTGAAAAACTGACCCTTAGTAACTATTATTACCATATACAGTATATTTTGCTTAGCTGCACATCCTTCTTTGCACGAAAAACTTGTGCACGTAACCGAAAAAGGCACTTAAGCGAATTTTCTTTACTACTTCAATAAGGAAGGTATCCGAATCCCTATGAAACCAAATATTGGCGGAGCACTTACCATGTAGAAATTACTGCAACGGAAATTTTTACCGAATGTTATCTAATTATCTATATAACTACATAAATTGATAGCCATTTTCATTGTTCTGCGAGATGAGCAAAATAAATAAAAGGTTGTAAAATTAGGTAATTGTAGGGCCAGTGCAGGTAAACGTAATACTTTCATTGATAATTGATACTAGTCGCACAATTTTTAAGGCAGGTATTGCCAATGTGCAGGTATGTTGAATGCATCTATCGGAGTAGTCTTTTTTATAAATGTTAAAAATAATGCTTTTGATGCGCATTTTGGGGTAGGTATCTTAAATGTGCACTTAAGCATAGAGGCAGCAAAGCAAAATATACTGTATAAAATACTCCTATATTGGCAGTAACAACTAGTACCGTCCGAAAACATTGCAGTGCAGATATATCAATAAACACGTACACATACGTTCATAAATAAACATCTACACAATACATGCACGAAAACGCTACACACGTACACAATACATATACAAAAACGGTACTAAACTTTCTCATTTTGATTTCGAAATGCTTACACATTGAGATCTTATTGTACTAATGATTTTGCAATAAAATGAAATAAAAAATCAAAAGCTCAAAATTTAAGTACAAACTTGTGGAATTTTTCTAAATTCTGTGTAAAGTTAAAAAAAAAATAACAAAATGTTAGCTTGAAAAACATTGTAAATATTAAACACACAACACCATCCACTTTTGACCGCCTCTGTATATACATATATGTATATATACTGTTATGTAAAGAAGGGACAATTTTTACTATTTTGCTTTCGTTTGTTTAATGTTTATTAATTTTTTATTAAATACTAGTTTTATGTATGTATCGTACTTTACACCAGAGGTGTTTGGGAATGCAGTCAATTTTAACTAAATTAATCATTTGGTTGAGTTCACAAGTGATTGCAATTATTTTCGGTTAGTCCTGACTAATAGCCCATTTCCACCAAAAGTTTAACTGCAGTTAAGAGCTCAGGTAAGAGCAAATAACGTTAACATGGGGTGATCAGAAAACTTTATTTCTTACTTTTTGCTTTCAAATGCTTGTACTTATGTAATATGAGCAATTACTCCCTTCGAGTTGTAATATCCTTTTTCTACTAGGCATAAACTGGAGTTAGGGCTTGGTGGAAATGAATTATAAGATTAAAAAATTAGTTTTTATTCTTTTTTTGATTTATGCTTAGTCACTTGAGTACTGCCATTTTTTAGTAATTTTTTTTTATTAGTCTTCAGCCATTAGATTGAATTTTTTGCAGTACTTCTAAGTTTTTTGAAGTGAAACTTCTTTAGCGGCGGTTGGTTGGTTGGGAGTAAATTGGCAAATTCAACGGAAATTGCACACGGAAATGGTGCAACGGAAATTGTGCAACGTAAGTGGTGCAACGGAAATAGTGCAACAGAAATGGTTGGAGCTGAAACAAGTGCTAATAAAAGGTTAAAGAATAACTATTAGAAAAATACCAATACAAACACTTTAGTTATATAGGCTGGTATTGTCACTCGCGAAGCGAATGAAAATAACGGCGAATTTCGCTGTCTCGAATTGTGAGACGCGAATTTCCAGCGAATTCGCCGCAAAATGGCGAACGGTTGTCGAAAATGAATTTCTTGCATTGTCACTAGCGAAAAAGCGACATTCGCTTCGCCAGAGCTGTCAAAATTTGTCGACTGTTTATTTGGTTCGCGTTTGAAATGCACCCCTATTGCGAATGTCGACTGGCAGTAGATAAACGACTATTAAGCGATTATCGATTATCGATGCTATTGCGAGTGTCGCTTAGTCGCTCAATTAGCGACTGTGAATACTTTTTAATCGCTCATCCTTCTATTGCTGTTTTTTAGTCGTTGGAGTTTGCGTTTATAAAATGTACGTAAGAAAGTGGTACTATAATGGATAAAAAGTAAGTCAATTGAACTGGAAGTTGTAAAAAATTGTGAAATATACATATGTATGTATGTGTCTGAATTACAGATCAAAAATTATAATCAACAAAAGGCAACTTGCGCGGTTTGTCAAACTGATAAGGGAGAATGAGGACATAATCAAAGGAATTTCCGGAAAGAGGAGGGGAGGAAGCTCTGCTTCTATTGGGAAAGATACATATACAATATTTCTTGTGCATATAACTCCGGCTACGCCATCCACAGTCTTTTTGTGCAGAACCAACATCAAAAGTTTACAAAAAACTGCATAATTTATTAATTGACTAGTCCTCGGAAAATGAAATCTTTATTTTAAATTAAAGTTGAATTCTTTCACTACACTTGTATGTTAAAGTTTTTAAACTCGGATCACGCGTTTGGACACAAATACCCAACATCATTGTACAAATATCTAAACCGTACCGTACTTCTTAAAATTCCATCAAGTTTCATAATGAGGAAAACAGCTTTTCCTGCAAATCATGTAAAGGCTAAGAACCGTGAAGTATCGGGAACGCAACTTCTATTCATAAAACTCACATATGTACATACACTTCAGCTTCCAATTCCAAGGGATCCGACGAATCTCGCCATTCCCTCCTTGCTTTAGCCAACTCTGCTAATCTATTAGCTTCCACATCATCTTCCTCATCACTAAACCATATTTCAACTGTGTCCATTTTTTAAATTTTATAATGAAAGCCATTATTTTAAAAATGATGTAAATAAAACACTAGAGAAACAAATGTAAACAAACAAACCGCTGTTTAGAATTCTGTCAACCATTCACAATAGTACAAATTTTTATCGATCAAGTTACACAATAGCAAAATAAAAGATGATCGACTCGATCGACAAATTTCTATTCTACTGCCAGTCGACACTCGCAATAGGGGCCATGGAAAGGACGTGAGTAAATTTTAATTTAATTTATTTAATTTTATTTAACAAAACAAAATTTTTAGAACAAAACGGACAACAACGCAGCAGTTCCAAAAGCTTGTTGCAATTATGGAAAACAATCCAGACGTCGCTAGAGGAATGGGAAGCTTCGGTTTCACGAAGAAAAGCAGGGCAGAGCTGTGGGAAAAGTTTGCAACTGAACTTAACGCCATTGATCCTCCAATGCGTAACGGACGCGAGTGGAATAAGGTAAGAACTGAACTAGTTTGTGTTGCCGTAGTTACTTCTGAGTACTATTTAGGTTTGGTGGGTTACAAGCTGAAGCTAAAAAAAAAATTGCGACAAACCGACGAGAAACTGTGGCCACAGGAGGAGGACCTTATACACAACAAAGCTTAACACCACTAGAGCGAACCGTTGATGAGCTTCTCCACCTTCAGGAAGCAGTCAACCCAGCAGGCTCTTCATTTGGAACGAACGTGGAAGAAAATGCGGTGAGTGGCAACAGAATTGATTTAGAGGAGCCACTGGGCGAACAAGCTCCGGATGCGGATTTGGTACCGCGATCATCAACTCCACGGCCAAGGATGACAGTTGAGGATCGAGAAAGCATTCGGATCAAAGCGTTGGAAAAGCAGGCTGAAGTGCAAGACACACTTTGCGAGAGGATTTCAAATATTGAGAAGCTTGCAGAAATCGCGAGGTATACGAGAAAGACATACGATTTAAAAAAGGAAGAATTAAATTTATTGAAATTAAAGGAAGAAAGGTAGAGGGAAGAAATTTTAGAGAAGAAAAGACAGCATAAGGAAAAGATGGAAATGAAACTAAAGGAGTTAGAACTAAAAACATTAAAATACAGCCAAAAGTAGACTGTAATATTGTTACAAACTACTTTTGGTTGTATTTTCAGGTTTAGTTCCTACTCTTTAGATTCATATCCATCTTTTCTTTATGTTGATTGAATTTGTGATTTTTTTATTTTTATTTATAAAAAATGTGATGAACTAGTTTTAAGTTTAATATTTTTTTAACGGCTGAATTTAATTTGTGATTTTTTATTTTAATATATAAAAGCATGTGATCAATTAGTTTTAAGTTTAATTTTTGATGAAGGTACTGAATTCAACTTGTGATTTTTATTAAGTTTAAGAGCATAGAAACAATTAGGTTTAATTTAACATGTATATAATAAAGAATTTTGAAGTAGAATTAGTAGAAATGAAATAAAAGGAACAAAAGTAAGGTAAATGATTTTGAATTTATTCAATAAACCGAACTGCAATTAATTTTACAACAACGCATCAGCTATTTGCCTTCTGCGGCGCTCTCCTGATGTATTATTGGCATCTTCACTGATTGGCTCTGATGATACAACGGTGTCAATAAAAATTTCAGCTTCTTCTGGATCACTGATTCTAAATTTCTTACAAATATTGTGGAAAGCGCAACAAATATTTATAATGGATGTTGCTTTAGCAGGATCGTAGCGCATTTTTCGATCACTCAGGAGACATCGAAAGCGACATTTCAAAACTCCGATCGTACGTTCAACGACGTTTCTAGCTTTCGCGTGCTTCTTATTAAAAATTGACTCCCTAGTTCCAGAGTCTGCATGGCGGAAGGGTGTTAGTAAATAAGGACTAAGTGGATATCCGGAATCACCTATAAATAAGTAGTTTTTGTTTTAAAATAGTATTTACATTAATTTTGTGCCGATGTAACAAATTTAAAGTACCTAAATAAATAGAGTTATGATCGCCACTTTGATGCATATTCTCCAAATAAGTCTTTAATGAACTATTGTTCCACACGAACGAATCATGTGTAGAACCAGCATATCTAGCATCCACAAACCGGATATTCATGTCATGATCGCAAGCCTTTAGTATACAATTTGTTTATCAGTGTTGCTGTATTCATTTCTTAAAAACTTACAATCATAGCATTTATACTAAAAAAGCCTTTTCTATTTAGATAGCGGTGTCTATTTGCGGTGGGGGCATAAATCGCAATATGTGTTCCGTCAACACAGCCAATTACGTCGGGTATTCCTGATCTGGAGAAAAATTTGCTCCTTGCCTGTTGCTTCTCTTCTTCTGTCATTTCTGTGATTATCGAAGCACTGCAAATTTCTCTTTCTAAAATGGGCAATACCTCCTTTAAAATGAGCGAAACTGTAGGTTGCGCAAGACCCTACAACGGCTGATAACTGCCATGCGCAAAAAATCTCGGTGCGCAACACAATTTTAGCAGTGGCGTTACAGACGAGGACAGGCGGCAATTAAATTTGTCCTTGATTTTGTCCAGCACATACATAAAAGCGTCCTTGCTTAGCGGAAAATTCGCTGCAAATCTATAAATACTAGGGCTGTGCGATTAATTGATTACTCAAAATTTTAATTAATCATAAAGTAAATAACTCAATTATTCGATTAATTGGAAATTATGATTACTCAAATGTTCAGTTACTCGAGTAATCAAGATTTTTGATTAACCAAAAACAAAAATATTTGAGTAATCTGCTTTATGATTAATCAACATTTCGAGTAAAATGAATAATCAACATTTCAACTCTTTACATATAAAGTAGTTGAAGTTCCTTGATACTCTGAAAACATGGTTTCTGTTTCCAAAAATTGAAATGAAAAATTTTTTTCTATACAGAATGTAAAAAAGAAAATAAGCATTTTCCAAAGCAAACTCTCTTAACGAGCAAAATTATTTTTTTTGAGTAATCATATTTCAATTAACTCGATTAATCATCGTTTTGAGTAATCAAAATCTAGATTACTCGAGTAATTGATTAACCTTATAATTGATTAACCAACTTGCTCGAGTAATCGAATAATCGCACAGCCCTAATAAATACATATTCATATATGCATAAATTTTTCATGTTTCATTGAATAACCTATCTGCACTGGATAATTACACTGTGGACGGCAGCTCCATAGGATTAGAGTAATCTCTAATAAAACGCCGTTGACGAAGAACAACATTATACTATCCTCAAAATATAAATCTACGGTATAAAACATTTTGCTTTTCAAATTTTAGTTTGTAATAACAAATAATTCGAAGTATAAATGACAGAAACGTCAAAAGAGGATGAACTCATCTAATTTGTTTGAATGGCAACGACGCATGTCCGGCGAAAAAGTTCATTCGCCACTCACAATGCAAATTTTAGGTGTGTTCGCCAAACCGTTCGCTTCGCCAAATTTATTCGCTTCGCAAGTGACAATACCAGCCATAAGGGCAAAGGTGAAGGCAAATATGTAGATGAAGAAAATGATGAACATAAAAGTAAAAACAAAGTTAAATATAAAGAAAAAGATGAGGATGAGGATACCGATAAAAGTAAAGATAAAGATAGAGGAAGAAAGATTAAAATAAAGGTAATTATAGAGAAAAGGATATAGATAGAGACACAAAGACTCAATGGAATTTTAGAGATTTTCGGGATTCTCGGGACTTATCGATATAATAATCGATATTTTTATCGGTTTGTTGTCAATATTTTAATCGATTTTGTTATCGAAATTTTTATCGATATTGTCGATGCAATTATCGATATTTTTATCGATTTTGTTGTAGAGTTTTTAGTCGATATTTTAAACGATTTTATTATCGATATTATTATTGATTTTGTCATCGATATTGTTTAGGCCTTGTTACCGATTTTGTTGTCTATTGTTCATCGATTTGGTTATCGATTATTTATCCATTTTGTTATCAATTATTTATCCATTTTGTTATCGATTATTTTTCGATTTTTGTATCGATTTCGTTATCAATTATTTGTCGATTTTGTAATCGATTATTTATCGATTTCGTTATCGATTATTAATCGATTTTGTTATAGATTATTTATCAATTTTGTTAACGATATTTTTATCGATTTTATAATCAATTTTTGTTATCTGTTATTTTTCGATTTTGTTATCAGTATTTTTATCGATTATCTAATCGATTTTGCTACCAATAGTATTACCGATTTTACTATCGAAATTTTTGTCGCATTTGCTATCGATTTTGTTATCGATATTTTGTTGGATGTTACTTTCGATTTTGTTATCGATAGAGTATAAAGATAAAAGTGAAGATAATGCAAAACAGAATAACATAAATGTTATTAGAACGATCAGGGGTAGAGAGAAAAAATATAACCTTAAGCAAAAGCAGATGAATGTACATATGTATGTTATGAGACAAAATAGATATGTAACGTAAGTTTCACTTCTCCAGTGTGGCCCAGGCGCATTTACTTTTTTTTAAGTTCAGAGTGTTAAAATCACATTTTGGCTGAGGTGGGATTTTATACTGATCTACATATTTGTATTCTCTTCATATACATATGTACATTGTACAACAGCGGTCAAAATAATAGTAGCAAAATTCAAAATTCTATTGATTGCAACTCCTGTTTATTTATTGATTTTTAATAATTTTCATTTAAAATATGGTTCGATCTATAACAGAAATCAATATTTAAAAAATTGCACAAAGTTCACAAAAATGAATCAAAATGCAAAAAATGTTCATCAAATTTAAAACCTTTTATTTAGAATGTTTAGAAAATTTTCAAGTATGCAGTTTTCTAGCCCAATTTTAGTATAATAAAATACAAGTTTCAAGTCACTAAAAATTACAGTTAATTTTTTTGATTTTTTTTGTCGAGGGTGTTCAGCATTTTCTTCCATGTAACGTATGAACAAAATCCCTTTTTATATGGAAGAAAATGCACAACACGCTCGACAAATAACCCACTTATTCTAAAACCCGAATTTTCGTAATTCGTAGCTACGCTACGAAAAACGAAAAATTCACATGCTGAAACCCTTGCGGAAACATGTGCAGCATTGCCAGCTATCAGTTGTTTTTCGAAGACAGTTGAATTGGGGAAAATAAAGTGGAAAGGAGTTAAAAACACTCATGAAGTGCTTATTTATAGCAAAATTGTTTGATTTTGCATATTTTAAAGGAAACGATGGATTCTATTGCATTTGCAATTATAGCACCGGAATAAGAGCGCGCTATGGGAATGATTTCATAAAGATATGCGGAGCTGTCGGGCATAGTAACCATGGGCGCATCTATGTCATCTTCTGGTTGAATTGTTGAACCACAAGCCAGAACTCCTCCTATGCCTGAAGAACTGGTTCACAATACACTTAATGCAATAACAGCTTCTTCCAAGCCATTGAAAACATGCACTTTCGGCCGCGCTTAGGGACTATAACCCTTACTAAGTAGAATTTTCCTTTCTCTGTTGCCGGAGAAGAGGGGCTTCCGCATGTCAAAGCTATACAACACTCCGGCTACGCCATCCAAATTTTTGTGCAAAACCCATATCGAAATTTGCAAAAAACGCATAGTGCAAACCGAATTTATTAATAAGCTAGTGGTCGGAAATTTGGAACATTTATTTTAAATAAGAGCTTAATCCTTTGATTACACGTGTATGTTAAAGTTTTTGGATTCGGGTTATGCGTTTGGACACAACAACCGAAAATCATTGTACAAATAACTAAGCCGGACCCAAGTTTCTCGATAAGGGGCAGCACAGATTCTTTTTTGCTTGTTTATATAAAGCAGTGGATAAAAATATATGTATATGCAAAAGGCAAATTTATCTGTTTAAATGAACACTACTAATATTTCCTGCAAATACACATCGATTTACATGTTTTATCTCGCCTTCGACACAGAATTGTTTTCGTACAAAATTACGCAAAAAAGCTTACCCGTTCGTTTTTAGGCATGCCATTGTTACGAATTTCGAAAGTTCGAAAATACGATTCGGATTGCAGCATACTATTTCTACGATTCGTAGCAAAATCCGAATACGAAAAAGTTGCAGAATAGGGGTGTAAATCTAAAAAATGAACGGTAATTTTTAGTGACTTGAAACTTCCACTAAAATTAATGGGCTTCAAAACTGCGCACTCGAAAATTTTCTGAACATTCTGAATAAAAAATTTTGAAGTTTGATTAATTTTTGTGGACTTTGTGCAATTTTTGAAATTTTTATTTCTGTGTTTTCTGTTATAGATCGAATTATATCTTAAATAAAAACAGTTAAAAATCAAAAAATATACAGGAGTTGCAGTTAATATCATTTTGAATTTTGCTACTATTATTTTGACCGCTGCTGTATATGCATAGAGAGAAAATTTCTCAAGTGGGCCACCTAAATTCAGATTGAAGATTTTTTTGCACAAATTACTTTATACGGTTTACAACCATAAACAAAAAATACAATTTGAACAAAATTCGAAGTTATGTTATTGTTATAAACTTTTTTACATGAATTCAGTAATTGTTTATTTTCTACTGATTCACAGCGTGTATCTTGCTGATTCTTTATTATGATAATTGTTAGTTAGACACCCTTTAGCCTGACTGTTCAAACACTCGGTATTTTAATTTAAATTTTTATAAACAATTTAATTTAATTTTAATTTTTATAAACAATTTTTATAAACAAATGAAAATATTTAGTACTTGTTGAATACCAATCCTTATTCTAAAATACATTATTTAAAATAAATTAAAATATGGAAACTTGCATGCCGTCGCAAGTTATCCTTTTTTCGCTCGCCTCGCATCACGCTTTGCTTGCGTTACGCGTGCCGCAGCAACAATGAAAATAATTAATAATTGGCGACTCCGTGCAAGCTTCCGCATTTTTTCCTTTTAAATAATATATGATTGATATTCAGGGAACAAGATTAAGAAAGCTGATCGAGAAGTTAACCTCGTTTTTCTGGAGCTGATCGAAACTTTATACTTACGGATTCGTAATCAGCACAAAAAAAGTCTATCAGCTTTAACATTTGCCGTTAAAAATGTGACGAATACTACGGCAACGCGAAGCGAACAACGAGAAATAGGCAGAATGTTCGAGGAATGACGTAGAATTTTCCAAAATGAGAAACGTCAAGTTGGATGAACACTGCGAACAGCGAGAGAAAGAGAATGAGCGATAAACTTCAGAATGTTCTAGAGTTGCCATAAGTGCCAGCGCAGGTATATTAGGGCGCCGCCACAGCGAGGTGAGTTAGTTACAAGTCAGCAAGCTACAAGTAAAGTGAGCAGAGAAGCGAGTTGCGAATAAGCAAGCTATAAGTTTAATTGTGTGTAACAAGTTCAGTAAAGCGTTGTAATTGCTTTAACAAGTATTGTAGTGTTTTTACTGTATTGGCAAATATTGTAAAATTGTTTGTTGTACAATAAAGTTAATTGTACTACCATTTGGTCATCGTTAGTCTTTATTTAACAATCCAGCGATACGAACCGGAGGATTTGGGAAATCCGGACGAGGGTTCAAGGATAATCGTAACAATTGGTGCCA